GATGGTGTTTCAATTGAGATATATATTGAATAAATAGTGAAGAAAAATTAAAATTAAAATTAAAAACGAAGTCCCTAGGCTCCCTTAGATACCAAAAACCTCTTGATGTTTAATTTCTTCATATACACAGAACTGATGCAGATCTCCCATTACTTTAAATGAACCCCCCATCAGTTTCAGCACCTAACAGACCATAAATACAATCAAAAGGTGCTCTGCTGCATCTTTTGAGCATCATTTTCTAAGCAAGTCAGTATATATACAAATATATTGTTCCCCTTATATTTTTTGCCTGTAGTTAGTAGAGTTCACAGATGCAAAACCAAAGACTATTACAGGGTAAGTTTGCATTTACCCCAAACGTATACAGACATGTATACACACACACACAGAGAGAGAGAGAGAGAGAGAGAGAGAGAGAGAGATTACATTGATTCTGTTTCTTTTTCATCTAAGAATTTAAATTTTATGTCACCTCCAGCAGAACTAATAAAAAAGTTATTACTTTTAAATTCTGTGTTTGTACAGCATATAATCATTTAATACTGTGCTGCTTGAGTGGGGAAATTACAATATAATGATTCTTGCTCATCTACTCATTCTGTTCTAAAAATTAGGAAAGCAATCAGAACCAGGTGGCATGACACAGTTGGGCAATTCTCACTGCACTGGAAGCAGTGATTGTTTGTACCTTTGTGCCTGAAAAAAAGAAAAAAAAAACAAAAACAGGAAGAGCACATTTGTCCAAGTTGTGTGAATAAAAACAGGCATAGTCCATGATGAGGATGATGTTTCTATAAGTTTTGTATCCTACTGATACAAGATTGGAGTAATTGTTCCAATGAACCCATAAACCTACTTCCTAGGATTTACCATTAAAAAATTTCATTTAAAGACAACAGAGAGGCCATATCATTTGGGATTTACCTATGTGACAAACTGTCACTTTCTATACGTCTTTCTCTTTTAGTAAATATCATAGTTTCTGGGAACTCACATAGCTATAAAGATGAAGAGAGCCTGTGATAATGAATAATGCAGGATACACTGCATTCAGATTCTATCTTTACCAACTTTGAGAAGCAATGATGGGAGCCTCAGGATCTCCAGCTACAAAATGAGAATATCAACGTATTCCTTGCATTTGTGTAGGTAGGATTGGAGAGTGTCAGGTATACATGGAAAACCCAGTGCCAAGGAGGCAGAAGACATCAGAATAAATGCTGCATTCATCCCTCAGCAAGTAAGTTCAATAAAGAAAAAACAACAAAATTCTATGCCAAAGTCGACGAACCAGGTAAAATGTGATTTTCTTGTCTCTTGACTTCTTCTTAGATACCAAATAAATTCATACTCTCATTCCAACTTCCAGTTCTGAGGGGGAAAAGCTGGATATATACCTTCCTACAACATGTTTTTTTTAACAGAAGGCTTGGTTCAATTGTTTCCTCTCACAACTACATAGACATGATTCCACTGAGTTCAAACACTTCAAGTTCCTTTGATATTTCCCTTTGATGATAATCAGTCTGCTTTACAAACAAAAAGAAAAGGTCTCCTCTGGAAGCATCTAGTAGTATTTTAGTTTTATTTGAAGTCCTAAAAGTGTCATCACGTATTGTCAATGTGCATTGAAACTTTGCATTTGCAATTACCAATCACCGCCCTTGTAGGCCTTGTAGAAGTATTTGGTAAAAAGCCACGACATGGATTTCACATTCTTAAGCAAAGCAGAGCCTGGCACTCTTTCACCTTCTAACTTGCTTCTAGCACATGACTCAGGCTTCACCAATGAGATGCCTTTAGAAAATGGAGCAGGCACAACAGGAGGCAGCTGGGCCCCACAGGATGCCCTTCTGGTTCTGAGGGATGGTGGCACAGGCCCTTCACGGCAAAATTTTCTGAGCCTAGTGGCAGACAGAGTCATCAAATATTATTTCTGACAGGGAAGAGTAGTACTTACTAAGTAAAAAGCTCCCAATGAAAGATTTGATATCAAAATCAGCTTAGAATTTGGACCTCCCTGAGAATACTTAGTATACAAAATTACACAATATTGATCGCTTATGACATTTCTAACAAAATTGTATTCAAGGGAAAACAAAAAATGTTTTTTAGTACTTTCAACAAATCTACGAATAGTCTTGGATACTAAAAATGAGATTTGAAGTCAGTTTGTACAGTAAGCACTTGGTTGTCAACTTGACTCCATCTGGAATTAACTAAAACCCAAAAGGCTGGGAACACCCGCAAGGGATTATTTCTGAATTAAATCATTTGAATTGGAAAATCCACTTTAATTCAGATCTTTTGAGGTGGGAAGATGCACCTTTAATTGGGCCACAGCTTCTGCTGACAGTTTACATAAAGGTCATGGAAGAAGAAAGTATGTTCTCTTTGCCTGCTTGCTAGGGAGACTAGCAATTCCATCACTTCACTGCCATTAGAGCTTACATCTTTCAGATTTTTGGTGGGTACTTGAGGCCGGCTGAGACATTCTGTCTCCTGTACTGAACTACTATTGTGATTTTCCATTAAATAGACAACAATTGTTGGACTAGTTGGACCACAGCCTGTAAACCATTCAAATAAGTCTCCCTTGCATGTGTGTGTGTGTGCATGTGTGTGTATGCTTGTGTTTGTGTGTGTGTGTGCCTATATATGTGTATGTATGTAAGTTCTGTTCCTGTAGAGAATCCTGGTTAATACAGCACACAGCACATATAAATACTAGCATTGGATTAAGTTGAAAAGCAGAAAGTTACATAAGATATTCCTGGAAATTGCTACCAATTAAGTAGGTTATGATCAGGTTTCTTCAATCTTACTTGAAGTCAGTCCAAAAAGGTGTTGAGTGACAGCAACTTAATGAGGAGTACAGAGTGTAGAAATCTCCAGAGAAGACTCTAATGATGAACCTAAAAGTTTCTACAATGCTGATGTGTAAGGAAAACTTTCCACTGGTTCTAGCATTATGGTAACAAAGGAAAACCTACAAGTGGAGGTTTTTCTTATGTGTGTATGTGTGTGTGTTTCCCTTGATAGACCTTGAATTCCAGATGGTGATGTTCTATGTAGCAAAACATCTTGCTGATGAAAGTGTTTATGATGACTAAGATGAATTAACCTATAGAAACATACCCTCCCCTCCTCACAATTGCTTACTGTGACTAAGCCCAGCATTTCATTCAGGAAGAAAGCAAAGTGTTCTTCACTATATCAGCACTTAAATGTATCCTCAAATTAAATGTCTTAAAAAAAAGTCACCTGTCATCCTTACATTGAAGACACTTACATTGGGTATACTCTATTTTGTAAACATACAGACAACTAACTAATTGATTCTTGCCTCCTATTTGTATATGTCATTTTTTTCATTGTGTCTCTTTGAAACAGGGTTTAGACTGGCCTCAGAGTCTAAACAAAGACAAACAAGACCTTTAACTTCTGTTTCCACCTCCAGGCTGTTGTGATTATAGTCAGTTTCTAATATACTTTGCTTCTATGAAGTCCTGGGTATTGATTTTGTACACGCTAAACAACTAACAACTGAGCCACATCCTGAACCTATACGTCACATTTCTTTGGCTCACTGAATAAGAAGTACTTTATGATTGCTAACATTAATGCAGAGAGTTCATATAACAGAAATCCAATCATGTCTACATACTGCTTGAACCAAGGTACTTAAAAACTGTCAAAAACCCCAGGAAGAGGACTACGATATAATTTTAATACAACATAATAACAATCTTAATTGATCCATAAAAATTATCTAATATTTGCTTTACACACTGGTTTCTGGGGGGGGGGATCTGTGGTAAATGGATTAGTGGGGACAAAAGTACCACATGAATGAAAATGCTGATGCTGAGACTCATGATAGAGCTGTATCTTGAGTCCAGTGATAAGCATATAAACCTACACATAACAAATTTATAGAAACACACACACACATGGGTACAGGTGCACATTATGACTCCTGGACTCTATCAGTGTCAACATACTGACTGAAAAGGTACTGTAGTTTTAGATGGCATCAACATTAGAGGAACTGGATAAATGTTCCATAGTATTTCTTTATATTCATTCTCACTGCTGCATGTGAATTTATGAAGTTTTCAGTAAGAGGTTAAAGGTGAGGATCAATCCTCACTTTATATGTGTATAATTATTTGTGGTAAAGATTGTGCACACAGATGTCCTGTGGACATCACTAGATGAAACACACTGGTGAGGATTTAGTGGGGAGAAATTCAGTGAGAGTATGGACAAAAGAGCACACATATTTACTAACAAATACTATTCTTTAATCTGCTTGAGTTTCTGAATTTCTTCCTGTCATCTAAAACAGCCCTTTCGGAGGTACTGACCCCCTTTTATCCTAATATTTACAATGAAAACAGTTGACATTTTTTTTTTAATCCAAGTTTTTTGTTGCTGCTGTAACTAGCTTTTGAAGTCACTCTTCTGAAACACAAGCCTTAATGGTCTAACAATGTATTTTTTCAAGACATTGATAGTGTTGAATACAAAGTCACTTTGAGTATTTCATGTATTTAACTATATTTGTATTTGATAATGGTTCCCCCCTATCAAACACATTAACACATATCCCCATGTCACATTCAGTGATGCTTATTCTAATAACACAAATACAGGGGGCACATTTGATGAATTGATGTAATATTTATATTTGAGAGACATTTAGTTAGACAACGATTAAATTTACATTTACCATTCTCTGTTTGTAATAACCATTGGAGGGGGGGGGAGAAGTGGGTGGGAGCATCTCAATAATTTTCTGGACCTTGCAAGCTCATCTTCCCTGCACAATGGATCATAGTGACTGAAGTAGTTCTTATTAATTTTTATCTGGTTAAGCAGCATGATTCATTTAAAAATGTAGGCTATGATGGTGCAGTAGGGAAATTAGTATAATGAAGTGTTTTCTACAAGCGAGAGGATCATAGGTGCAAGATACAGAAACAAAAACTGACCTGAGCATGTGGGCAGCATTGAAGACGACATCAAACTCCGTGCTGTCAAGCTCAGCTGCTTTTTTTGCCATCTCGGCTGCTTCTGTGAGGCGAGATTCTTCCAGAAGAAACTGACCTGCAAAGTAAAATAAGCAAGCTTCACTCAAAAAGTAATAACTATTTGCAATAACAAATAAGTGTGACAGAAGCACTGATCTGAAGCCAAGATTTAATGCCAGGCTCTTTATTTAGTTATGCTTCATATACCTTTCCCATAATTACATGGTATCATGAAAATTCTATATTTCTATGTGCTAAAATAAAATTTTTTAAAAAGGAATCTTCTACAATCTATTCAAGCAGGCAGTAAAATGAACATTTAAGGAAATATAATAAATGCAAGTCATATCTATTTTAACTGTTGGTGCTTTAAAATAATACCCATCCCTGACATATGCAAGCAAACAAGTGTGTCCATTCTGAGAAAAATAATTATTTTCTGCTGAAATTATTGAAAGGACATAGAAAGGTAAACTTAGCAATAAATAACTCTAAATTACAATTAGCAATTAAAGGAGGCTGAACATTAACAAGCTCACATTTTGGAGACTATTTCAGATCAGCGTCGCAAGGGTAGGTTGATGAAGCTAGTGTCACACAATTCTTTAAAACTGTATCTCAAGAATTATGAAATGGTAGCCTACAGATTTGCCCTACTGGCAAAATAACATAAAATATGTCAAAATTTGACCCTATCTATATGTAAACAGGGACAAAAAGGAACTTTTTGAAAGATGGGGATTTCTCAATTGCAACACTAGTTTACGCATAATTTTAAGGAGAGATTTACGTTAAAATCAAATCAAAGGATGACACAGCTATGTTCAAGCCATCCACGCATCTGCAGATTTGCAAGCTTCTGATCTAGTTATCAGTTGTTTTTGTTTCTGAGCTTTCTGGTTTTTTGGAGATCAAAATTTTGATACTAATTACTAATAATAGAAATGATTAGAAAGTCAAAAATAAAAATAAGAACAGAAAAACATTTAAAAGCACAAATGCTCAGGTAGCTGTTGAAAAAGCCCATTGTTTAGTGTTTATTAAAGATTACTGCCCTTAATCTTAAATATCTGTCCTACATTAAAAAATAAAAGAAAAATAAGTTTTAAGAATTTATAATAAGGGCTGGAGAGTTGGCTCAGTTCCGTTCCCAGCAACCATATGGTGGCTCATAACCGTCTATAATGAGGTCCAGTGCCGTCTGCTGGCATGCAGGCATACGTGCAGGCAGAACATTATATACATAATAAATAAATATATATATCTTTAAAAATTATAATAACAGCCATTGCTTAGTTGAAGTATTTTTAAAGTTCAACCTAGCCTATCAGGTTTCATCAGGACTGGCTGCATTGTCTTTCCCTATGACCTGGTAAGGCTGCTCCCCCATCAGCGGAAGGTGATCAAAGAGCAGGCCACTGAGTTCATGTCAGAGACAGTCCATCCTCACTCAGAGAGACAAACAGGATGGACACTGGAAGAGGGAGAAAACAAGCAACAGGACAGGAGCCTCCAGAGAGGGACTCTGAAAGACTTTAACCAGTAAGGTATCAAAGCAGATGCTGAGACTCATAGTCAAACTTTGGACAGAGTGCAGGGACTAATATGAAAGAAGGGGAAGATAGTTAAGACCTTGGTTGGAGTATCAGTCTCTGAAAAGACCCCTGTGCCCAGAATTTTTGGATCTGTTGCTCTCCTTCTAAAGCTCCAGGTCTTAACTATCTTCCCCTTCTTTCCGCTGATGGGGGAGCAGCCTTACCAGGAAGATAGTTAAGAACAGGAGCTTTAGAAGGAGAGCAACAGATCCAAAAATTCTGGGCACAGGGGTGTTTTCAGAGACTGATACTCCAACCAAGGTCAATTCATGGATATAACCTAGAACCCTTGCTCAGATGTAGCCCTCAGCAGCTCATTCACCAAGTGGGTTCTCTAGTTCTGTCTTGCTTTATCACTGCATTTAAGTTTCTTTCGTTTTTATGTCCTAAATGTTTTTCTCATTGAAGGCTTCTTTGACAAATTTCCAATAGTTGCCAGAATTTCATATAATTTACATTCACTACAGTCTAATTTACCACTGAAACCAAAGCATTTCAAAGAGTTTAAGGAACTGATATTAATCATGCTGGAACAAGGAGGGACACCAGAATTTTTCCCATACAGCCACTTCAGTTACAGAGTCCCAACATTCATCTACAGCACAACTTGGAAGTGAGGCATTAGCAAAATACAACTCAGGACCAGTGACACTTAGCAGTGGGAGGGACATAGGTGCTCTTGAGGCTACCAAGGAGGCTACTGGAGCTCAGATTCTGAGAATACTATATGACAGGACCAGCCTGCTAATGAAGATCAAGAAAACAAGGAACGTAGTCATTTCAACAAGTCTCTCTACCATAGCAAATTCTGTAAAGACTGGAAAGTTTACATTTCCACCTGCTCTCTAGTGCATGTAAGAATCATCGATCCCCCATCCCTGCCAGCTTCGCGTGCATGAGTCTGAGACAGAGCTTAGGATCTCAGTTGGTAATAGGTCTGCAATTGATGCCGATGCTGCGAGGGCATGTGCACACATTGAGAACCAGTGTGTTATGGTAAAACAAGATATTCTCCATGATACTATGGATTCCAACTATACATGGGATTAGCTTGTAGATCTTGAGCTAAGCTGAAAATAACCTACACCTGGTAATAATGCATCTATTTGGGGACATAAGGACCAGGTTTCATCTACAGGTACAGGTAAAAAGATGCATATGTATGAATGGCATGGTCAAAGAAGTTAGGTTTACTTTCAATCAGAACAAAGGCAGGCACACATTCTAAAAAACATTTCTTGTCTACATACAGTAAAAAAGCACATGCTTTGTGTTTGATAATTGAGCAGAATTATAAATACACACACAAACACCTTACAAAAAATGCATATTATTCTTATGTGTATGTTCTTACTACAACTTTTTTCTTTTCTTTTTTTCACTTATTAGGGCTGTAAATTGTCTTACCAAGGTTAATTATCCTCATTTTAAAACACTGCCTGTAATCAAAAGAAGAAACAAAAAAAGTCATTGTGTACAAGGCAGAGGGGATGAAGAATAGGGGAACAGATTGACGAAAAGGAACAATCTCCAGAGATCCTGAGACAAAGAGTGTAAGTCATCACACTGACTAACATAAGATGAAAGAGACACCACCAAATGCCCAAGTTTCAATGCTTTTAATGTAGGAATTGTACAGTTTCCTCTTTGAACATTTCTCTCACATGCTGAACCATTTAAACTACTTGGTAGATTTTGACCAAACTTTTATATGACAAGCTTATAAAGATCAATCCTTCATTAATTCCTGGATTTAAAAAACTCCTCCCTTGAAGTAAAAATCAGTAAAAATGAAAGCTGGCTGTAACTTTCAGGATCAAATGCTGCTTTGCATAACTTTTACAGACAGACTCCCTAAATTAATTGGAACTGGCATTTCTAACTAAGATTCCATGAAAAATTCACTCTTAAGATCAATTCAACTAAACTGAAGACTTAAAACAATATTTACTAGGTGTCACAATAATACAATTCTTTTTAGGAAAAACAATATAGCTTCAGAGATGTTGAGAAGGAAATTAAATTTTTTATATACTAAAGTAAATCACAGCATTTACATTAAAAGAGTTGTTTGTGCATGATAGACATTGGAAGCGGGAGAAGACAGGCAACACGATAGGAGCCTACCACTGATGGCCTCCAAAAGACTCTATTCATCAAGGTATTGAAGCTGAGGCTGAGACTCATAGATAATCTTTGGGCACAGTGCTGGGAATTTTATGAAAGAAGGGAGAGATAGAAAGACCTGGAGGGGACAGAAGCTCCAAAAGGAGACCAACAGAGCCAAAAAAAAAAAAACCAAAAAAAACAAAACAAAACAAAAAAAAACCTGGGCCAAGAAGCCCCGTGAAGAAACTGATACCCCAACCAAGGACCATGCATGGAGAGTACCTGAAACCTCTGCTAAGATGTAGCCCATAGACTCATTCTTTAAGTGGGTACCCTAGTAAGGGGAACTGGGGCTGTCTCTGGCATGAACTCTGTGGCAGTCTCTCTGATCATCTCCCCCCTGCCTTGCCAGGCCACAAGGGGAAGACAATGCAGCCAGTCCTGATGAGAACTGATAGGTCCACACCTATCAGTGGGCTAGGGGAGGGGTTTAGGGGGAGAAAAGGGAGGGAGGGCGGGATTGGGAGGAGAAGAGGGAGGGGGGCACAGCTGGGATACAAAGTGAATAAACTGTAATAAATAATATTAATTAAAAAAGAGTTGTTTGTGGAAGATGGCATAGCATATAGTCCTTGAAATATATTCAGAATCATCTAATCCTTAATGATACCACCCTGCTCTTAAGTATAATCTCATTTGGAATTAGTGCATTAACCTTTCAATTGGTAGCAATGTTTCTGCCTAAGACTCTACATAAGATTCCTCAAATAGCAGTCATGGCAACGTTGATTAAATGAAGGTTCAACTGTGTCATTCCACAGCTGATTGAGGAAACCTTAAATTGGCCTAAACATTTTGATATTATCATCCCTGCCCTCTCTTAACTTACTACTCATTTAACACACCAGCGGGATAAAGTTTGCTGCTTCAGAATATTTTCTAGGTCATTTCCTCCACCAGAATCCTATTGTCATATGTATCCCTTTAGTTCACCTTCTTCCCCCCCCCCCAGAAGAAAAGTATTTAAATAAATGCATATTCAATTTATTTAAATAAATTCATGCTCAATGACATGACTAAATGAACTAATGACAGGCCTTTGTGACTAATGCTTTGTCTTCAATAATAATTTTGAAGGTATGGCTTTGGTAAATGACCTCTGACTTAGACAAATCACAATATCAGTGGGGCTGTATCTATAAATATTATGTCTTGAACTTAGGCAAAGGGATGTCATTGGTTTGTGATCGCTGAAGTTTCATCTAGAATATAGCGAAGTAGTCCAGACTTGGTTATGTCTGACCCAAAACAATTTAAACCGTGCAATGTATCTCACATTTAGTGCTGTATTGCCAAATAATGCAGTCATCTG